ACTTTTGGGAAAAGTATTTGTTTTAAATACTGGGGGAAAGCCCCGGAGACGGGGTTTCTACCAGTTTTGGTCCCCAACCCCTTTGAGATACACGGTAAAAGTCCGGAGACGGGGTCTAAAGTTTTATTGGCCCCTCCCCCCCTTTGGATACACGGTAAAAAGCCCCGGAGACGTGGTCTACCATTTTTATTGGGGGTTTCCAAAGTTTTTGGATACAGGGTAGAAGCCGGAGACGGGGGGTTCCAGTTTTTGGGTCTCCAAGCCTTTTGAGTACAGGAGAACCCCGGAGAGGTGGTTACCATTAGGGTCTCAAGCCTTTGAGATACAGGGTAAAGCCCGGAGACGGGGTTTACCAGTTATTGGTCTCCAAAGCCTTTGAGATACCCGGTAGAACCCCCCCGGAGACTTGGTCACCGGTTTTTTTGGGTTCCAAGCCTTTGAGATACAGGGGAAAAAGTCCGGAGAAGGGCCCCCAAAACCCGTTATTGGTCCCCCAACCCCTTTGAGATACACGGTTAGAAGTCCGGAGACGTGCTTCGACCAGTTATTGGTTCAGCCTTGAGATACTCGGTTTAGAAGTCCGGAAGACGTGGTTACCAGTTATTTGGTCTCCAAGCCTTTGAGATACCATGGTAGTTATATGGCTCACAATGACACATTGAAGTCACCTGGGCAGGGAAAACAGACGATACAGACGCAGGTAGTCAATGGTAAGGTGTAGGGCATTGTTGGTTCATGTGGCTTAATGCTGGTTCATGTGCTTCATGTCCCACCATTTGTCAGCTGACTCTTGGGTACTCCGCATAGTCATTTTCAGAGTATTACAATGGATCTGATCAGCCCGGGGTCACCAATATATCTGAGGTGTACGATTATTAACACCAAGGTATCAGACGGGGGTCCTTCCGAGGAAGAAACTCCTCCAGACACAAGCGAAGAAAAATGATCGAACATATTACCAAGAACCAGGGTTCGGTATGACAGTGATGGGTATTGTACAGGAGAGGAGTACGGAGGTATGACAGTGATGGGTATGTACAGGAGAGGAGTGTGGAGGAGAGTGATCGGTATGTACAGGAGAGGAGTGTACGGAGGTATGACAGTGATCGGTATGTACAGGAGAGGAGTGTGGGAGGTATGACAGTGATGGGTATGTACAGGAGAGGAGTGTGGAGGTATGACAGTGTATGGGTATGTACAGGGAGAGGAGTACGGAGGTATGACAGTGATGGGTATGTACAGGAGAGGAGTACGGAGGTATGACATGACAGTGTACAGGAGAGGAGTACGGAGGTATGTACAGACAGTGATACGGGGTATGTACAGGAGAGGAGTACGGAGGTATGACAGTGATGGGTATGTACAGGAGAGGAGTACGGAGGTATGACAGTGATGGGTATGTACAGGAGAGGAGTGGGAGGTATGACAGTGATCGGTATGTACAGGAGAGGAGTACGGAGGTATGACAGTGATGGGTATGTACAGGAGAGGAGTACGGAGGTATGACAGTGATGGGTATGTACAGGAGAGGAGTGTGGGGGTATGACAGTGATGGGTATGTACAGGAGAGGAGTACGGGAGGTATGACAGTGATGGGTATGTACAGGAGAGGAGTACGGAGGTATGACAGTGATCGGTATGTACAGGAGGAGGAGTACGGAGGTATGACAGTGATGGGTATGTACAGGAGAGGAGTACGGAGGTATGACAGTGATGGGTATGTACAGGAGAGGAGTGTGGAGGTATGACAGTGATCGGTATGTACAGGAGAGGAGTACGGAGGTATGACAGTGATTGGTATGTACAGGACAGGAGAGAGGAGTACAGGAGGAGGGAGGTAGGTATGACAGTGATGGGTATGTACAGGAGAGGAGTACGGAGGGTATGACAGTGATGGGTATGTACAGGAGAGGAGTGTACGGAGGTATGACAGTGATGGGTATGTACAGGAGAGGAGTACGGAGGTATGACAGTGTGATCGGTATGTACAGGAGAGGAGTGTGGAGGTATGACAGTGATCGGTATGTACAGGAGAGGAGTACGGAGGTATGACAGTGATGGGTATGTACAGGAGAGGAGAGTACGGAGGTGGTAGTATGACAGTGATCGGTATGTACAGGAGAGGAGTACGGAGGTATGACAGTGATGGGTATGTACAGGAGAGGAGTACGGAGGTATGACAGTGATCGGTATGTACAGGAGAGGAGTACGGAGGTATGACAGTGATGGGTATGTAGAGGAGAGGAGTACGGAGGTATGACAGTGATGGTTATGTACAGGAGAGGAGTGTACGGAGGTATGACAGTGATGGGTATGTACAGGAGAGGAGTACGGAGGTATGACAGTGATGGGTATGTACAGGAGAGAGTACGGAGGTATGACAGTACGGAGGTATGACAGTGATCGGTATGTACAGGAGAGGAGTACGGAGGTATGACAGTGATGGGTATGTACAGGAGAGGAGTACGGAGGTATGACAGTGATGGGTATGTACAGGAGAGGAGTACGGAGGTATGACAGTGATGGGTATGTACAGGAGAGGAGTACGGAGGTATGACAGTGATGGGTATGTACAGGGAGAGGAGTACGGAGGTATGACAGTGATGGGTATGTACAGGAGAGGAGTACGGAGGTATGACAGTGATGGGTATGTACAGGAGAGGAGTACGGAGGTATGACAGTGATGGGTATGTACAGGAGAGGAGTACGGAGGTATGACAGTGATGGGTATGTACAGAGAGAGGAGTACAGGAGTAGGAGTACGGAGGTATGACAGTGATGGGTATGTACAGTGATGGGATGAGAGAGGAGTACGGAGGTATGACAGTGATGGGTATGTACAGTGAGAGGAGTACGGAGGTATGACAGTGATGGGTATGTACAGGAGAGGAGTACGGGAGGTATGACAGTGATGGGTATGTACAGGAGAGGAGTACGGAGGTATGACAGTGATGGGTATGTACAGGAGAGAGAGGAGTACGGAGGTATGACAGTGATGGTATGTACAGGAGAGGAGTACGGAGGTATGACAGTGATGGGTATGTACAGGAGAGGAGTACGGAGGTATGACAGTGATGGGTATGTACATGAGGAGTGTGGGGTATGTACAGGAGACGGTGTACAGGAGGTAGTGTACGGAGGAGTATGACAGTGATGGGTATGTACAGGAGAGGAGTACGGAGGTATGACAGTGATCGGTATGTACAGGAGAGGAGTACGGAGGTATGACAGTGATACGGGGGTATGTACAGGTAGAGGGAGTACGGAGGTATGACAGTGATGGGTATGTACAGGAGAGGAGTACGGAGGTATTATGACAGTGATGGTATGTATGTACAGGAGAGGAGTGTACGGAGGTATGACAGTGATCGGTATGTACAGGAGAGGAGTACGGAGGTATGACAGTGATGGGTATGTACAGGAGAGGAGTACGGAGGTGTATGACCGTTCCCAGGGAGGAGTATCTCAGGAAGGGTCTATACTCCACCATAACTCTGGTTCTCGGAGTGTCAGGTCCCAGCGGGTTCTCCTGGTGTCTCTCCTGTTATTCTGTCTCGGACACATCAGAGGAACATGGTGGGAGATCGGCCTGAATGTCCTTCCTAGGAGGGAATACCGGAGCCATTCTGAGGCCCATTTCGGTACTGTCCTGTTTCCTCCCACACTATACAAAGACATGCTGGGAGGTGAATTGTCTCTGGTCTAAGTTGTCCCTAGTATGTGTATGTATGAATGTGAGTTAGGGCCCTTAGATTGTACGCTCCTCGGGGGGCGGGGACTGATGGGAATGTACAATATAGATGTAAACTGACGGCGCTATATAAGTACCTGGAATAAATAATAATAATACACCCAGATCATCGATGTATCGAGGAGGAAGGTTCGGTCACAGATGATTGGTTCCAACTGAAGAGGACACGAACGGAGGGAAGTGACCCCGCGGACTGATAATACAGAGGGTGCAGTATGGAGAGCAGACACTAGATGGTGCTTGGTCCAATTAGATAAACAGTCGAAATATAAACAAAAAAGGGGTAAAAGAAGAGAAAAAAGTGGAAATTAATTTTTTTTTTTTAAAAAAGCAAAAGAAGACAAGAATTGTGAAAAGAACACAGAAAAAGGACAATGCACAAACCCGCTGGGGACTCCATGCTGTCCGCGCCTGAACTGCTGGGAAACCAAAACAAGTAAAACAATGAAAATGAAAAATAACAAAGAAAATTAAATCAGACGACAGAGCGGTGAGCGGGTTGTTGCCATTAGTGACGTTTTTGGGGTGAGCTGCGCTGTGTCCCGGATACAACACACGCCATGCACGGCGACCAACTAACCAAGGGCATGGTCACGGCCGTGTGACTTGGGGTAATGAGGGAAAAAGAGGGGACTCACTATGGGATTATAAGATTCTACAGAGGCTACAAATACACTTTTACATGCAGAAAGGAGGAGCCTAGTTCAGTGTGTTCCAATCAGAAGGAAGTATTGCCAATCTCTCTGAAAATATTGTATCTTTTATGAGCGATGAAAAGTGATTCCTGCTGCATCTTATGTTGGGATAGGACTGTTTGCCAACTGCTAAGCTGGCAGACGTTTCGGAGCCTGTCTATCGGCTCCTGCTGATCAGTGTAGCCAAAATGACAAGGATGTCCTCGTTTAGGTTCAAGAAGGTGGCAATCTCAAATGGCTAACATAGGTGACAACGTTGTATTGGCACCTCGGTGACACCTCCAGCCTAGAAGCTGCTCTGTCCTTTCAGATGCTGTTTTGGTGGACATATGTCTCTGACTGAATACTGAACACGGATCTGTATAACATGGAATGAGACGAGATCTACAATGACATTTTCTACAGATTTCACATCCCAACTACCCGAATCTTACATTTCATGGTTACATCTCCCCCCTTCTAGAGGGACACCTAAACGGGATCAATCTATCGCAGGGCTAACGAGTCTGCCTGGAATGGGTTTCCATAGGTTGGGGGTGAAGGTTCACCAACTAAATCTTGGGCACCGCTGACAGTTTTCAGCCTGTCCCCCTGCAGGATAGGAGAGGGACTACTGCACAGCTCTCTAATGGTGACCCTAAAGGGTCTGGATCAGAACTGGCAGTGCAGATCGCCCTGCAGATCCACATCATCACTGGCAACGTGACCGACTACCTACTGGAAGTGGGTTTTACAGGCAAACTTGTAATTGTGTTGCTGTCATCATCTTCAGTGTCCACTGGCCACCGACTACCTACTGGAAGGGTACTAGGCAAGACTTGTAATTGTGTGCTGTCATCATCTTCATCCACTGGCCACCGACTACCCTACTGGAAGGGTACAGGCAAAACTTGTCAATTGTGTGCGGGTCATCATTTTCATCCACTGGCCACCGACTACCTACTGAGGAAGGGTACAGGCAAAACCTGTCATTGGGTGCGGTCATCATCTTCATCCACTGGCCACCGACTACCTACTGGAAAGGGTACAGGCAAACCTGTCATTGTGTGGCGGTCATCATCTTCATCCACTGGCTACCGACGTACCTACTGGAAGGGTACAGGCAAACCTGTCATTGTGTGCGGTCATCATCTTCATCCACTGGCCACAGCGACTACCTACTGGAAGGGTAACAGGATCAAACCTGTCATTGTGTGCGGTCATCATCTTCATCCACTGGCCACCGACTACCTACTGGAAGGGTACAGGCAAACCTGTCATTGTGTGCGGTCATCATTTTCATCCACTGGCCACCGACTACCTACTGGAAGGGTACAGGCAAAACCTGTCATTGTGTGCGGTCATCATCTTCATCCACTGGCCACCGACTACTACTGGAAGGGTACAGGCAAACCTGTCATTGTGCACGATCCATCCATTTTCAGCCCCTGGCCATGGTCACCTGGTGGGTCTCTATTAGTTACCACACCCAGATGTTTGAGCCTGGCATAAGGTCGTTCCTGGGTGATCTGGACCTGGTCCCATGGCTTGGATACCAAGGACCTCCACCCTCGGACCTTTCTCCCACACTTCTACTCTTTCTGCATCAGCTAGAGACTGGTCAGCACAACCCTGAGTTCCCCCGGGCTGACATCCAACCTATCAGCCTGCAGGAATACAGTGTTGTCAGATCCAGCCTCTGAGAGATCAGATTCAGATCGGTCAATGTTCCTCCATCATCCTGCAAACCTTCCTCTGCTGTGCACAGCAATGAATCCTCAATCATGATACTCATAGCTTGTGGGACAAAGGATAAATCCACACAGAAGACTTTATTCCACCAGAAGTCATCCTCTGACCCTCCACACACCCTTCTACTCTGTTCTCCTCAGAGCAGAATGTCTGTCAGCACAACACCTGAGCTCCTCCGGGCCAACATCATAAAACCTACCAGCCTGGAAGTCCTCAGTGATATCAGCTGCAGCTCCTGAGGTGGAAGACACTGATTGGGCTGAATTTGCCCCAATATCCTGCAGACTTCCCTCTGCAACACACAGAAATGAGTCTGCACTGGCAGCACCCGTGACTGTGGGTGACAGAGGGAAATAGACAGGAGAAAGGATTCCACCAGGGGTTTGTCCTCGACTGACCCACGTCACACACCAGGGGTTGCCCTCTGACCCACAATCACACACCAGGGGTTGCCCTCTGACCCCACATCACACACCAGGGATTGTCCTCCGACCCACGTCACACACCAGGGGTTGTCCTCTGACCCACGTCGTCACACACCAGGGGTTGTCCTCTGACCCACGTCACACACCAGGGCTTGTCCTCTGACCCACGTCACACACCAGGGCTTGTCCTCTGACCCACGTCACACACCAGGGCTTGTCCTCTGACCCACGTCACACAACAGGGCTTGTCCTCTGACCCCACGTCACACACTTTCTACCCCGTCTTTAGCAGGCCTTTCTGTTGGCACAACACCTGAGCTCCTCTGGGCTGGCATCAAAATGTATCCACCTCTAGAAACTCAGTGCCGTCAGCTGTAAGCTGCTGAGGGAGTAGAGTCAGACTTAAACCCTCACTGTGCTGGCTGCACAGTCCAGGATCCAAAATGGCAGTACTGGTATCTGTGGTGACAGGGGAGCAGACAAAAGAAAACTTCCTCCCACAAGGGGATAGAGGCACACAATATGGTTCTTTACCAGGACTTACTGAAACACAATGTGTCTCTTCCCCAGGTACTTCAGAAGAACATTCTGTTTCTTTACAGATGAGAACAAAATCAAATTCCTGTTTTCCCATACACTTTCATCCTGCCATCCATCACTGGGGTCCTTCAGCCAGAACCCCAAGATCATCTGGGCTGCCATCAATTTTTAAAGCCTCAGGGACTCAGAGCTATCTGCCACAGGTGCCAGGTGGACAACAGTCTGAGGAGACTTCAGGGCCTCTGGGCCAGGTTCAAACCTGAACAGATCAGCTCCCTCTTCAGATAGTTCCTCTGTAGCAGTGGGCAGGGGTCAGGGTGAGGATGACTGGTGGGCGCTGAGGGTCCTCACTACAACAGCAGGGAGGGTCTGCACTCCACACGTCATGATATTTTACATCACACAAAACATTGTCAGTTTAAGAGTCTGTTGTGGTTTTAAGTTCTTCCCCAGGCCTTGACTCCCAGAGAACCACTAGGGCCAGGACCTGGTACATGGTCATTCACACCCCCTGACCCTCTCCCCAGAATTCCCAATGCGCACTGAATCAGCAACAGTACGTTACATGAATCTGGGGCCTCAGGTGGAGATGTAGACCTCAGAGGGGTTGACTTTGGCTTGTTTTTGGGCTACCAACTTCCCCAGGTCAGTACCCGACAGTATGTTAGTGGCATCTGCTCCACCCACTTCTCTCACTTTGTTTCTGGATCCTTGGGGCAAAGCAACACAAGCTGTAGGTAGCACAGAAGTGACTCCTCCCACTCCACCCCTGTTATAACTGTGGCTTTCTTTGTGACCACATCCTCACAACGCCCCAATCCTGGAAGAGCTAGGACATCCTCAGGTCCCGTATCTCAGAGTCCAGCTGAAACATTGTTACCTGCTGTAACTGGCTGCATACTATCCACACGGCCTCCTTCATTGGTGGGATCTGCTCCGCCCACTTCTGTCACTTGACTTTTAGATTGGATCAAAAGAAACATCAAGGCACAAGCCATAGGCACAGTAGGGATGGCTCCTCCACCCCGTGTGACAACCATGGCTTCCAGTAGGATCACATCACAGCTCAACTACCCTACTCCTACATTTATGTTACACCCCTCCCCCTCTCTGAGCTCAACAAGAATATGGAGGACACCCCCTCCCCTCTCTCTGAGCTACAAGAACATGGAGGACACCCCTCCCCCTCTCTGAGCTACACAAGAACATGGAGGACACTCCTCTCCCATCTCTGAGCTACAAGAACATGGAGGACAACCCCCCCCCCTCTCTGAGCTACAAAGAAAATGGAGGACACACCCCCCTTCCCCTCTCTGAGCTACAAGAAAATGAAGGACATA